AAATCATATATAGCTCTACCATATGATATTTAGTTTTATATAGTTGTGTGTTAGCTGAGTCACGTGCTGCCTTATATTTATCATGGATTCTATCATTGAGCTATCTCCACCATTATTCTCTGCCAGGGTCCTTATAGAGCCAGCAATGGTATCACATGCCACTGATGGATTCCGCTGTTATGAAGAATAAACAAATTATGGAGTATAGCTGACACATTCATTATGGCTTTGTGATAGAGTATAAAAACATAAATTGCAGGAGTGAAATCTCACAACTGGAGGCTCCCAGAGATATAAAACATTGAATGGTGAATAAAACCAGTTTTGTTACTATCCCTCATTAATTCCATTGGTGAACTGCCAATTCCACCTCTGGGTTCTTTATAGTGCATCTGATGTTGTTATTCTTGTCTTCTCTCCTGCAATTGCATGTATAGTGTTCTCATACAGGGGATAAGAAGTACGGTAGTTACCCAAGTTACGCTTGTTCTATGTAAAGTGCATTTAATGATTTTCTAATGCAAAGCTAACTGGATTAAATGTTGTGTTTGTGTTTGTTCATTTTTTAAATGGCTGTCAATTTCACCTTAAATGTTACTGATGTCTTAATTCTAATCTGCACTGCACCGATCACTGATCTTTACACCCAGTATACTTGGCACTGATTCAAACTGAACCTTCCTCTGCTTGGGCTATCACTCTAAGGCCTCATGTAGACAAGCATTAGGCTCCACCACCCTCTGAAAAGCGGTTAGCGGTGGATCACTTTTCACAGGACGGTGGACCAGTGGCTGCCTGGCATTTAGGAGACCATACTGCTGCCTCCTGAATGATGATTTTTTTAATCTGGAATGGATCCCAAGGGAGATTTTTAATTGAACTATCCCGTTCACCTCTATGGTAGGATTTGCCAGGCTGCACCACCTGCCACACTTGACATGCTATATAATCTTTAGCGTGCTGCGGTAATGTATACAGTACTAAAACCATCAAATGCACCCCCCACCCCATTCTTACCACTTTGACAAATGCCACTGTTCTTACCAAATATTCCCCCACTTTCTCACAACTCAGTCAAACACCCATCCCTTTCTCAACACTTTGTTAAAGGCCCTCTATTCTCTATACTCTGCCAAACACCCCCCCCCCCATACGCTCTCACCACTTTGCCAAATGCCCGCATCTGTGTTCTCACTACTCTGCTATGTCAGCACTACTACCCTCCCTCACCACAGCACCTGTCCCCATTCTCTTGCTCTGCTCTTGCCTCCTCACATGCACACCCCAACAATTCCCCCCCTGTTCTCACTACTGCAACTGATCCCTCACCATCATGCTCTCACCACCATGCCTGCAGGCCAACTCTTCTTCTACTACTGCCCCTGGCCCTCATCCCACGTTCCTATCAGCATCTTTATGGTTTCCCTGCTGTCATCACCACGCTTGCCGCCCATTCGGTCCTCATACTCACCACTGCACCTGCCACCACTCCAACCCAACCTTGACTGACAAATACAGACACACAAATGGAGACATATCAACAAGGGACAGACTTTCTTAACAACAATTTATTTTTTCAGTCAAAATATACACAGGCCTATAGATCATAAGAAATTTTTTAAAGTAAAAAAAAAAAAGGATAAAAAGACTCTCCTTACAGTCAGGCTACCCCACACTGCAAGGGTTAACTGCTCATTAATGTGTACGGGACCTCTAAAAAAAACAACAACTTTTACTTACCTGATTCCCGCTCCTGCAAGTTTCAAGGCTGGCATCTGCAGCCTCTTTCCCCTTGTGCTCCAACAGGTTCCCTGCAGTATATGTGTGGACCTTGAGGGACAGTCCATGGAGCGTAGGAAGAACGAGGTGAGCACCAACTGCCAGGAAAGCAGGGATCAGGTAAGTAAAAGTCCTTTACACAGGTCCCAAAGACATTAACACGCAGTTAATCCTTGCAGTGTGGGGGTAGCCCCACTGCAATGGGAGTTTTATTTACCCCCGGAGATAGGCTTTAAAAGATCAGTAGCTAGGATCAGTTCCGTCATAAGACAGGCAGCTATTGGAAAACATGCAGATCGATGGTCCAGGAGTTCAACACTTTGGAGCAGATTTCAAGGACAAGTCAACACTACACACTTATAAAGGCACTGTTTACATGGACACAGATGGTAGGGGTAATATATGGTACAGCTGCTTCTTACGTACTTCCTACTTCAAGGCTGAAGGGTTCATTAGAAACACTTAAATCTTTTACTCATAGTCGCAACTATCTTTTAAACATCATTCAGCACTTTTGGTTTGGCAAAACAAAATAAGCGTATTATTTTAGCGAAGAGTCCAAGACCACCACCCCAGTTAAAAAGTATCACACATCCCCTCTGAAGCTGGCCACCCCTTTTTACACTACTTTTAGCTATCAAAACACTGCCATGTTACCCCAGACACATAGACTACATGTTACTTCTCACTCTTCCAAACACTTATTCTTTGTTCTGGCTTGGCCCTATGGAACCATTCATACCATGACCCATCATAAATGGCAGTATGTTCCTTGCCTAGAATGTAGGAAGCTAAGGCCAGTTGGCACGCTGTAACACCACGCCGACAAGTAATTGTCAGCGGTTTCTCCAGATCTATTCCTTTATCTTGAAACAGACGCTGAATCTCATCAGGCGACTTCTCAAATCCTTCTTCTGTCAAAAAACTGGTGAATGGAAGGTTTAAAGAGCCAGGTATGTGTCCAGGGAATATTTCTGTAAATTCAACAAAACAAATTAATAGAAAAGCAAACAAAATGATAAACACCATGTCCATGTCACTTCTTTTATAGGGATACAGTACTGCATCCCTGACTCCCATTATTTACCCTATGTTGTCATACTCTCACATGCGTATCCATTGGATACTATAAGAGCTTGTGTTGACACACCTTGTTGTCATTAGCAGGAAGTTGGTACTGAGCAGTGATTTGCAGTACAGTATTTTCTAAAAGCAATACCAAAAAATGGCATTTGTTTATAATATACAGTCATTAGGCAAACCCAATGTCATCAAGCTAGGGTATAAATCTACTTTAACACTTAACCATCTTTAACATGAATTCTAATATTTAACATAACCTTAAAGTGGACCTTTAACAGTTAACCAACCCCCAAATGCTTAGGGGTCTGGATAGCTATTTCTGCTGCTAAATTGCATGTACATTCCTTCTGTTTGAATTAACCAGTTGTGAGAATGGGGCAACATCAAATGTTCTTAAGGCTATTTTCTCTTCTGGTCAAATGCTCTTCAAATATTAGGGGAAGCGGTAGATATAATACAGCTTAGTAACAAGAGACATCATGTGAACATTCAAGAGAAAGCTAGAGAGAATTATCAGATAAATGTAACTATTACTACCACATGGAGTCTCATAGTAGCAATAGTTACATTTATATGTTAAAATAATTAGGCAAACATATGCTGTAGATACAACTGTCCTTCTCATGTTCCAGGTCACATTACAAATACTGGTCTATAGCCTGATATTTTGGCCAAATGCTCTGTGAGTTCTTCAGTGCACAAGAATGGGCCTAGCTGCTTTAAACACAGGTGACTGCAAATATCTTTCTTCATCTACAAATGGACCTCATTAGTTGGCTCAATATGTTAATATGACCTCTTGGCTTGGAAGTTGGAGCACTTGTACACTCCATCCATAATGTGCACATCTCTATAAGATATTGAGGCTTTTATAATGCACTGAAGGATTGGAGAGGATGAGACAAAGCGCCAGAGTCAAAGTATTATGGAAGCCATGCCCAAAAAAGACAAGCACAGGGCCAAGGATTGGTCACCAGTGTTGCTTGTATGCTCCGAGCAGCTTTTCTCTATTACTGACTTAAATGTCTTGCTGCACACTGTGTCTCTGTGTGGAAGCAGCCATCTTGACAGAGAAGCGGGGTTTTGCTTCCACATGTCAGAAGTGCCCACCTGATGGCTGCTGATCTGATGACTGGTAGGGAAATGATCAAGAAGCAGCAAGAGAGGAGAGGTGGAGGAAGCACAGATCCACAGAATGGGTGAAGCAGAAGCAAGGGGATCCTTGAACTACAGGCCTTCGGATACTACCTCCTCTCTAGCAAGCATTCAGAAGAACAGTGCGCAGAACAGTAATGATATGACTAAATCTCACTTCATATCCTGTGAAACTAACAGTCAGCGGCAGCAGTACCTTAGATTTTATACTGCAGATATACAGGTATGAACAGAACAACAGTGTCTAAGCACAGTCATAGCACACTGCTCCTTTTAGACAGGCGTTCAAGCGAAATAGTACAGCTTTCATGGTACTGTACTGCTTAGATAAAACGAATCATTTTATATATTCCCTATAAGATAGCAAATCTTCCCTTCAAGAAAATGGGTCAATGTAAAGTGAAACTTTAGCCATTTAGCCAACTTTTTAGTTTGGATGGAGGGGAGGGTTAGTGTGACGACATGGTGATCAGTTTTATGAATTAAAGGTGTATTGGTGTTGAGTTATGTTTGAGCGCGTTATACTGTGTAACCTGGTTATGAAAAGACTATCAGCACCATCCCTCGTTATCTCCCATTGTTCTCTGAGGGAGCTCAGAACAATTACATTCTGGCCAGGCTCTGCTATGGCTGTCTGGAGCTATTTAGCAGGTGGACACCTATAGTGTTGTGAAGACAGGATTTCTGGGGAGGGGAAGGTGGATGTGATGGGATTATATTCTAATCTGATCACTTTCTGTATAAAAGTTTGTGCAGTTGCTCAATAAATCAGAGTTTGTTTACCCTACACTTGTGTCCCGACCAGTGACTGGGGAAACTGAGAGCTATAGATCAGCGGGTTTGCATATCTCCTGAGCAAGGAAGAATGCAGCGGCGGACATACTTATCCTGAGTAGCGAGGTCCATCACAGTTAGAACCTCTGTTAAATTTTTATTGTTGGCTCTCGTCTAGGAACAAAAAGTGAGCAAAACACTTTCCAACATGCATATGTCTGCAAGGAATTTGTCCCCTGCCCGTAAAGTTAAATAATAGCTTTTAAGGGCTTCCTCTTCCCACTCCCAGTGGCTGAATGGAGTGATTAGGGAAGAAGATAACTGTAAGTATGTGCCCTAGGGAGAATGGCATGAATTCAGCATGGGCAAAGCATATATTCTTTTTTTTTATGTCAACTTAAAAAGAACCATTCATGATTCAACTCTGAACTTTCCCTTTATCGGGCTTCACTGATTTTATCTAAGTGGCTTTAGTTGGAGTCAAAGGTCACCCAAAGTCTAAAGCTGGCCATACACCTATAGATTTTCTGCAGCTTTTCTATGGTCAAAAAAAGTGCAACAGATTCCTCCATCTACGCTAAACTGTGGGGTTGGAGGAGTCTCCAACTGGGCCAAGCTTCAGTATCTTGCTAGTCGGCCCCTCTGGCTGTCAAAATAACTGAACAATCTGATTGGATGCAGGCATTGTCCAGGTATTTTGACAGCCAGTGGGGCCGACTAGCAAGATACTGAAGCTTGGCACAGTGGGAGATTCCACCATCCACACAGTTTAGTGTAGATGGAGGAATTTGTTACTCTTTTTCCATCTGACCATAGAAAATCTGCAGATAATCTATAGGTGTATGGCCAGCTTTAAGCTCACCAAGCACATAACAATCAGGTTTTGCAATCTCCTTTAGATCCACCAACAACTATGTAGTGCAAGTGTCAACCTGATTAGATACAAATTGATTATATTGATTGCGTAGGTCCTCATATTGCATAGGTCATTTTTAAGTTGATTGGACAGAAATTGTAATGCATGTCATTGCTGAACAAAAACAAACAAACACTTGATTCTCCTAGTAGATAGAAGATAGTAGGGATGCACTGATACCGATACTAGTATCGGTGCCGATACTTGAGTAATTGGGCGATTATTTGCACTCGCCCAAATGCTCCCAATGCCTATCCCAATACCAGAACTTACGGTATCAGGAAGCCGGATGGCGAGTCATTACATGCCGCTCGGCATCCTGATTGGCTGCTCCTTTGTCATCAGGGAGGATAGAGCTGGCTTCCCAACCAATCAGGAAGCCAGGGTGGCGGGTAATGGCCAAATGGAAGCTGGCTCAATGCTCCCTCATCACTTAGTGAGTAGGGAGCATAAAGCCAGCTTCCTGGCCAATCAGGAAGCCAGACGGCATATAATGAATCGTCGCCCAGCTTTCTGATTGGTCAGAAGCCAGGCAGCGACTCATTACCTGCCCCCCGGCTTCTTGATTGAACAGAAAGTCGGCTCCATGCTTCCTTGTCGCTTGGTGACGCGGGAGCATGGAGACAGCTTCCTGGCTAATCAGGAAGCTAGGCGGCGAGTCATTACACGGCTTCCTTAATAGGACCTCCGGTAAAAAAAATATTGATACTCTTAATCGATAACGAAAAACCAGTATCAGTGCATCCCTAGAAGATAGTAGACAATTTCTGAGGTCAAGTTTAAGATTGACAAGTTTAACTACAGGTCTCCTTTAAGCCTGCTTAAAGCACGAGAGCTGCACCATTTTCTAAAGAGCTTTTATCTTTCTACTACTGTGCAAAATGAGGCACATACTGTATAACACATTCAAGGTGTGCTTTGGTAAATTGTAAGCACTCTAGTAATTTCAGGCATATAATACATTGTGCTTCTTAAATTCATGTCACACTTTTTGAACTGTCTTTCTTAGTTTTAGCTGGAGACGTGGTTTAATATTACAAACCAATACACAGAAATGCAGTGGCTGTTTTCTTTATCACAGTAGCCAGTCACCTGATAAGAAGCTACATACTAAACATCTACTGAGTTGCGTAAGCTGTTTGGGTCTATCCTAAAATGACCTCTGAATTTTTTCAAGCCTCAGAACATTTCTCCGTAGTTGCCAAAATGTTAAAACAAGTTACAGGGACGTTTTGCTGCTAAAGTGTTGTACCTAACTAGTTACATAGGGTTGTAAGTGTGGAAAGAATAATATAATATTACAAAACTGAATTATAACATGCATGGTTGAAAATTTCAATACAGACAAAATAGCAGACACCATTTTTACTTACCGTCTCCTGGTTCAGGCTCTGTCCCAGTGTAGCGTCCTTCAGAACGAGAGTCAACCAGCTGGAACTCTTTGCTGTTTAGATTCTGCTGAATGTCTTCAAATTTCTTTACTAGAGAAGAATTCAGCACAGCTTTATAATTCTCTGGTTGTGGTTTTGTCACTTCAGATGTTACCGGATGTCCCTCCTTCTCCCAGTTTCTGAATCCTCCATCCAGAACAAATACCTTTTTATGACCGAAGACCTTAAACATCCACCAGATCCTTGCAGCATAGTAAATGCCCACTTGATCAGCATCATACACTATAACATGGGTATCATTATTAATGCCAAGGTTGCCCACATATTTGGCAAAGGCAGATTCACTGGGTAGCATCATTTCATAGGGAGATGTCTGGTCCTTACATTCATTTATGTCAAAATATAATGCTCCTGGTATGTGCTTTTCCACATACTCCTTGCGTCCATCTCTGATTGGTGGGTAGTAGAATGATGCATCCAGTACACGCAGAGCTGGGCCTGGTTGACTTGTTCTCAGGGCTCCAGCTAGCCAGTTTATTGACACCAGAGCCCGGGAGAGAAGTTGCTGCGACATTCTGGCAGACCTGTGTAGTGTGTAGGCAGTTGTGAGCTAGAGTGGAGATTATATGAGAGACTAAAGCGCCACTCCTGGATTAGTTCCAAGAGGTTGAAACTCTAGTTATTATTTTTTTTAACTCCTCTGACTGCTGGAGGAAACTGCAATGCAGAAAACCACTCGTCTCAACTGGTTAGAATTGAAAAATCAGGTCACATGACTTTCGCTTGTAAATTTTATTTTCTTGTTTAACTGTTACATGATGTACATAACATTGGTACACAGTTAAAGGCAGGTTAAATGTCATAGAAGGTAGTGACATTCTGCAAGGTGAGGCATTTGAACCTGAAGGTGGCTATAAACAAAAAAATATAGTCACATAACTAGTAAAGCACTGTAGAAGGACTTGGGAATACTGGTGAACAGTAAGCTAAGCAGCGCCTCTCAATATCAAGCAATAGTTGCAAAATAAAATAATATCTTATAGAAAGAGAAATAACGTGCTGCAAGTATAGTAAGAGCTTGTGTGCATAAGAACTATCTCTGTTCCTATTCAAGTCAATAGGAATGCAAAAGCAACTTAAAGCCGAACTTCAGGTAAACATTTTTCTAATGTGCATTTTAGTGCTTTTCTGTCTTTACCAAGCATGTTCCCTTTTAATTGTCTAGGTGTAATAACATTGAGAAAATCATACCTCTTCTGTTTATTTCCACACATCCCTGTGATAAAACCATTGGCCGCTATGCTGTTTCCCCTGGCCACAGGTTTGGTCACTTCCCCGCTGTAGTTCTACTCAGTGAGTGGTGACATCATTACGTGTTTTTTGCGCTGTAGTGGGAGGACCTGGGAGTCTCAGACTCTTGGTCTGGACTGCTCACTGTATCAGAGCCATTTGATTGGCAGGTCAGGAGTCTCCTGATCTGTTCCGCCTCATATTACCTTACACTGACAGGTCAGTATCAATGCACCCACCCATGTTGCTATCCCTTAACTACAATTCCCCTGGTATTACGGAAAATTTTGTTTTGACAAACGGTGCTGTAAAAGGAGAGGAAGCGATGTATAGACCAGAATTACACCTCTTCCCAGTGCCTGGCTGAAGCTGTTTTTGCAGTGATTATATCACAAACTTTTTGGGTAAATTATGAACCAAAGGGTTAGGTCACAATTTTTAAGTATAGTTGGTCTTTAAATAATACTTAGAGGGCTATTCACTAATGAGCCGAAGGATCCAACCTTAGCTTTGGATGATACTTCGGCCGCCTCTGCCCTTCATTCAGAGCCGAACGCATATGTTTTGGCTCGGCTGAGCCGTAGTGACAGGCGAAGCGTGGAGAAAGGTCGGCCAAAGGGCATTAGCATGTTCGGCTGACCGAAGGCAGCCGATGTATGGCTGAAATCAGCCGTACAAGGCTCAAGTGAATCGCCGAACAGCGTTTGGCTCACCTTACTTTGGCTCGGTTATTCACTTGATTGCCTTCTGTGTTCTCGACTGTGTAGAAAGATAAGACAGCAGTGAATCTCTAGTCTGCAAACTATATCTGGCATTTAGAACAAGATGTAAAAGGTAAGGTATACTGACCCAACCAGCTCTCCTACTGTGCTCCCTGGCACCTCCTGATTTCCTCTGGCAGCATTAGCAGCAAGTCATATCTTGACAGCATAGCAACAGTACAGGGAGCAGGGGTTGGTGCTACATATTCTTTAAAAATGGGCAGTCTTGTTGAGTGTAAACAGAGCTTACAATCTGTTTAGGGTTTTAGCAATTTGTACAAAATCATGAACAGCTTAGATTAATTGGAAAGCATCAACAAAGGCACATACAGCAGTCAGTGTATAGAAAATGTAGTTATGCTAGAGTTTAGTGACCTATATCTACTATTTTGCCTGGGCTACCACATTAGAGGGAAAAAAGCGAAGTCAATGGTCACAAACCGGTTTCAAACATAGGAAATCAGGATACAGAATGCAGGGCACACAGGGACTAGCAGATGACCACTCAGCAACTTGATCATGGCCACTGGCAGTTTATATAGAGAACCGTGCACGCTAACGAGCGTGCACCAGTAAGCTCACATGCGTGCGCTATTTACGCGGACGTCCATGTGCCAAAGCGCGTTTGCCTGGATCTTTAAGCATAGGATTGCACGCTTATGTGCGTGCACGTTTTTGAGCAGGAATCAGTTTGCAAGTAAGTGTCTTAAACCAGGAAAAATTGTATTGCAACACCATCTCTCAGGGTGTGGGATATAATTAGAGCAATCTGCTTTATGCAAAACCATTCTGAGAAAATCCCAATTTAAATGAACTATTCAGCCTTAAAGACACCCATGCCTGGTTGCATACAGACATGGCTTTTGTAACACAGATGCAAACACCTTCCATTTTCTTCAAAGTCTTTAACTCTTAAAATTGCATACAGAACTGCCACAGATTATATATCAGTGCCTGCTACTTCAAGCATTATAAGAAAAGCTTATAGCTATCTAATATGAGTTGTATACTGGTATGCATAACGCATAGGTAATTGATGGAGTTTGTTACAGGGCCCCCAGTGTGAATGAAGAGATAGAGACTCAGCTCCTTACACAGATAGAAAGGGCTACAAGGGCGGGGACAGTAGTATTAATGGGAGATTTTAACTATCCTGACATTGACTGGCATGATGGCACTGCTGGAACAGTAAAAGGGCAGACATTTATAAACTTATTGTATGACACTTTTATGGTACAGTATGTAGAAGCCCCAACTAGAAATGATGCTCTGCTGCATCTGGTAATCTCAAACAATGCAGAGCTTATTACAAATATTCATATAAAAGAACATGTAGGTAGCAGTGACCATAATATGATTTCCTTTAACTTAAAGGAGAACTATGAGGTGAGTGCTTTTCACTCACCTCATAGTTCTAGCCGACCTGTGACAATGAGACTGTCACAGGTCGGCTCAGTAGAGCGGGAAGTTAGCGAACACATGCCGGCATTTGCTCACTTCTCGATCCTGTCACGGCTCTCTGCCGTGACAGGGGAGGGGCTTGATTCCCCCCTCCCCGCTCCGATCCACCAGTGCTGACTAGCGGAACGGACAGGGGAGAGGGCGGGTACAGCTGGCTCTGCCTCTAGATAGGCAGAGCCAGCTGTCACTCACGCAGCTGGGCGGATCTCGACATGGCTGCGGCGTCTCAGTATAGCGCGAGCTGTAGCTCGCCGTATACTGAGCTTAGGGTGACGGGAGGACGCTAGTTTGTGTCATCCCGTTACCCTAAGGAGAACTATGGGGAAAAGCCCTGACCCCATAGTTCTCTTTTAAGTTGTAAACAACATCCACATACTGGAAAAATAAAAACACTGAACTTCAGGAGAGAAAATGTTCCCATGCTGAGAGCTGCTCTTGAAGATTTAGAGTGGGAATTAATATTTTCATCAAAAAAACACAGAACAAAAATGGGAATGTTTCAAAACAATTGTTCGCAACCATATGGCAAATATATATTCCAGTAAGCAATAAGTTTAAAAGAAGCCAGAAGGAATAAGAAAAGGGTGTTTAAAAAATATAAAAATGAAGGAACACTGTCGTCATTTGAAAGCTACAAAGAATATAACAAAATATGTAAAAAGGAAATAAAGCTTGCAAAGATTCAAAACGAACGACAGGTTGCAAAATATAGCAAGATTAACCCCCTTAAAATTTTTAAATATATTAATAGGGATGCACCGATACCGTTTTTTCGGTAGCGTAGAGCCGTCTTCCCGGGCAATCAGGAAGCTGGGCAGACACCGCTCTCCCGAATCTGCCCACGCGATCAGCCCTCAGCCTGCTACTCCGCATGCGCAGACTGCCCAGCGCTCTCATTCAGAAATCATGTGCATGCGCAGTAGCAGGCTGAGTGTCGATCATGTGAGCGCTGTGCACACAGGAGACGGCAGATCTGGCCAAGGGACTGGTACGTTAAAGAATGCTAAGGATCTTTGTGAGGGGAACTAGGTTCCTGCAGGGTGGTTGTCATGTCGCTATATTATCAGATTTGTTTGCCCGGCTCGACACTGATTGGCTGGAAAGCCCGCTTCCCGGCCAATCAGCATCGAGCCGGCCAAACAGCATGGAGCCAGCTTCCCGGCTCCATCTGTAATAGACGTACCAGGTTACGGTCCACCGTCAGGCTCCAACGCCGTCCTGCGCAGGCGCGCTGTGGTAACCCCTCACCCCCTAGCGGGGACTCAGTAGTGCGCAGGCACTCCCTGGGACTCCACCCACCTCATTCGAGCAGTCGGCTTAAAGCTGCTGCTCACTGATTGATCGGCGTCCTACTATTGATTGTAGCAGGACACTGATCAATCAGTGTCTGCCTTGCTGCCCTTCAGGATCATCAGCCACAAGCAGGTCGTCGGATCCAAGAGTCTCAGGGCTCTACCATTGACCACCAAACAAACCGCAAGTAGAGGCAAATGCCTCCTGGCTACCAGGACACTACTATAGTGCTGTTGTGCTGAACTTCATACACCTGCTAGCTAAACGCCTTTCTATTGCTCACAGCCATTAACTCTGTGTGATATTGCTGTTGTGCTGAACTTCATACACCTGCTAGCTAAACTCCTTGCTGTTGCTCACAGCTATTAACCCTGTTTGCTATTGCTGTTGTGCTGAACTTCATTACCTGCTAGCTAAACTCCATGCTGTTGCTCACAGCCATTAACTCTGTGTGCTATTGTTGTTGTGCTGAACTTCATACCCTGCTCTCTAACTACCAGAGGAGTGGCACTTCCATTGTTGCCAAGGGGAGTATGATGTTAAGCAGCCCTCGATCCGCCTAACCAAATACAGGGCAACAGAGTTCAGCTGCACAACTGATCCCCATCCATGAAACTCCGCAGTTGCGATCCATTCCCATAGATAAGAGAAGCGAGGCTTTACACGATCTTTACTCACGGCACTGCCGGTCAGAGGAAGTCCAGTGCACAGAAGTCGCCAACTGTCTGCTGAGTCAATAGCTACACACCTCCAAACTCCATGTGGCCTTCAGATTGGCACAACAACAGTGCGTAGAGAGCTTTATGGAATGGGTTTCCATGG